CTTGTTTACTACACGAAACAAACTCATCAACCATACTTTATTTAAAAAAACACTTATTACAACAACATGACAATAAACATCAAGGTAATATAGTGGTCTACGACGTACGAGATTACCGGGAGAACCACGAGAGACACAAGAGAGGAACATGCATAAAAGGGAAAAAATCATAATAAAAATAAAGAACAGCATAATTTCAGAGAGTTGATTTTCTACAGCAAAAAAACGACTCCCAGCGATATTCAGAGACCCCCTCCCCCGTTCTACAGTCGTCCTCATTCAAAGTCAGCAATATAAGTAAAAAAAATGCATCGAAAATTTCTACACAAAGAAACAACTCGAGGAACTCAGAACGATACCATGACGCCAAGGAACTCAGAACGATACCATGACGCTCAGGTGATGAGATAGTTTCACAACGCACAGGATATGAAGGCACCTCTGAAAATCGTAATTCATATCAGAATATAAGAAGACACCATCGAGCGAAAATCTTTACAGGCGTCACGTGCCTTGGGAGGGACCACTCTCAAAGATGTCAAGTCATGTTGTGACGCGACAAAACTACGTCACAGCTGTCTATTAGAAAAGAGGGTGGCATGCTCTAACGTTGCGAGTTAGCCCCGCTAGAGGGTTGCCCCTCCTGAACACATCTCCTCCCTACATTTCCAGTAATAACGGCTGAAACGAAGTAGTATGGAAAGCCCTTCTCAATTCGTACTTACCTATGGATCAATCTTGGCACGTTTTGCCACACTCTGTTCTTCCTCATCTGGAGGCGCCATGCTCTTTCTCTTTCTCGATTCTTCTTCCTCTGCATTTGGTTTCTCTTCTCCACTATCTTGTACAATCTAAACAAACACCCACTCATAAGAAACCATCAGCAGCCCATCTGAATGCGCGTTCATACTTCGGGACCCAATCTATCAAATCATGAAGTTTGAACGCACTCCAAGGAGTAATCAATCAATACCTCAAACTCGTCGCCTTTCAGTTTCTTGCTTTCACTCAGAATCAGTCTCAACTCGAGTTTCTGCTGGAAGTCGTCACACGTGAGCATTGCCCCGTTTCCGATCGACAATTCTTCTAGAGTTTTCTGCTCAAGATCTGCAATTCACACAATTCACACTGAGTAGAACACAACTTTAGGTTGGATTTTCTCAAGTATTTATGTATTAAGACGAGTCTTTCAAACTCTAATCTCTCTCTCAAAATACAGCATTTACATAATTTAGAAATCAACACTGTTTGATCTCCGCAACCAAATAAAGCACGTTACAGCGCGTTGACGCGCGTCATGCGGAAAATGACTGCTGCCCCATCTTTTTTGTGCATTCTCCGTCAAGCTTCATTCTTTCGCGGATTCCGTGATTCATCAAAGCGGTTGTGAGCGAACTTCGCCTCATTAACCACCACAGAATCCCCCCTCTTCCCTCCAGATTGTCTCACTCAAAAGGCAAAAATATGGGTGACAAAACCAGCAAAATGACAACTGAGCAAACAGATTTCGCCCTTGAAGATAGATACTGCCAGCCCCCGGTGACCGTATGCGCATCTACTGTATAGACTTAAAAAACAATCAGAAAAACCAGCCCATCTAAAATCAATAAAAATTGACACACCTGTAGTTTCCCCTTCCTCACTACTTATAATAATGCGTGACGTAGTTGCCTCCATCACATCGGGCTCAACCATGTTCAGTGCTCCTTTTAAAACCTGTAAAGCAAAACAAAATGAAGATTATTCGGCTTGGATATTAAAAAAAAACATTACACGTTCTTCAGTCAAATTCACGTTTTGCTGCTGAAATGTGGGGAAGTGGAAAAAAATCTAAAGATTTTTCTGGCAACCTTAATAAAACCCGTTTCAAGTTCGTACTAGAATGTCAAAAACATCCGAGTTAATCTTTCGCCGTTCGATCGGGCGGGGGCAGCAAATGATACTCAGCGGAGCCTGTACAGGTACTTGCGAACCATTCTTGTCAATTCTTGTAACCAAGGTGATGCACTATCACCATTCCGCAGCTTCACAAGAGTTGACAAGTCTCACCAAAGTTAGACTTGTTAGTAAACATCTAGTGGAAGAGGATCTAGCGAAAAATCAAAATGCCCCTCCCAAGCGAAACAGCATGTTTGTTCGTAATTTTGGTTTTCTGTCAGTGAACTGACACCTTGGGCCCAGCCCATCGCTTGAGAGGTTTTTTTCTTATTTATGTCAGCCCCATGTTACGCTCATTCACCGCCATTCGGTGGAGAAGCGAGTGGGCGGAGCAACACGCGGAGGGGCTGGACCTACGCACATCGCAGGCTCCAAAGCGCACTTACTACGCAGTTCCGAGTGACAAAGCACTACAGCCTATGCAAGGTGGACTTTCGCACCAATGCGGAAAGGAGTTCCCCTCTTAGATAACAACGAAATGTTCTATTAAGACAGCAAATGAGACAAACTCAGAGTGAAAAAAAAACTAGAAAAACAACATTTCAAAGGGAATCAATAGACCATTACCAACCTTATCCTGTAGAGATTTCACCGTCATTTGTGCCGGATTAAGGCGAACATGGCATTCGCGCTTCTCCGAACAAACAAAACATTTCGGGTTAGGCTCAAACGGGATCTGGTCGACAAGAATCTAAACAATATAACATTAATTAAAAATGGAATAATATAGGTGATAATTTAGGCTAAGATAGCGCCACAAGAATGTCAAACCCTACCTTTCCTCGAGGATTTGGCTTTTGGCTTATAAATACCACTCTAAGCTTATCGAGCTCGCCAGAGATAATTTTCGCTGCCTCCACAACCATCATTCCGGCAACAATTGCATTTGTTGTGGCAATAGCAGGCACAATGTTACCGGCCATAGCTGGAAGAAGATCCACGGGTAAAAACCAACGAGAAGGCTTCTGAGCTTCAAACTCACATTTGATCTCAAAGAGAGACTTCCTTGGAATTCCAAAGATTGTTGCACGAATATTTGCGCATGCGGCCACAAAACGCATCGCATCATCATCATCTTTGTCCCAATGAAGCAGATTATTCTCAGCGGCGGCTTTTCGTCGACTAAGGGCTGTTACACATTCGCAGAACACATCTGCACATTCGGCCAACGACCAGACCTGAACAAGCTTACAATTAATGGAGAAAAAAAACTGACATTTTCAGGTATAAACGGGCAGCATAACCACGAACGGAGGGATACAGAGTCTAAAATAGGGTAAAACGGGTAAAGACCGGCGCTGGGTCTCGCCTGGTTCGCTCTACATTATGTTTGAAGTGTGGATAATGGCTTTCAATAACAAACCTACATCGCCAAGTGACTCTCTAGGAAAAAAAAAGGCAAAAAAATTATGGAGAACACCGAGGCGGGGCAGCTGCAACCTCCAGAAAGAACACCACCATCTTGCTTCCATGTCTACGACATAAAAGTCATTAAGCTGAGAGGGTAAGAGCGGCTCCGATGGCGTAACGGATAGCGCACTCTCTCGGTCAGTGAAAGGTTCGGGTTCGAGTCCTGCCTGGGGTCTGACTTTTGCCTCAACCTCTGTGATAATTTCCTTCTTATGAGGGAAAGAACCCAGCACAACCGCAAACTCACCCTATTGGCATCGTCTGTAGTGCCACTCGATGAAGCCGATGCACTCGTTGCGATACTGTAAGCCTTGCGCAATGGTGTGGGCGGACGACGTTCACGCCAAAGATGTTTCAAACGAAGAAGGTATGTGATATCGTCGTAAAATAGCTGAAATTGCACTTTGTTCCAGTTCTTTAGTCGAGATCCGCAAAGAAATGCACAGTTGGGCTTGGTGGGGACAAATAAAGAAAGAGCTCATAGAAATGTCGTATACAGTACCTTATCGAAGATCTTTTCGGGATCGTAGTTCACATTTTCTGCCCATGCACGAGTGCTAATTGGCTTTGGCTCGTTCGAAGTATCCATAGACTCTCCATCACTTCCATTGAAAGGAGCCACGCCATTCATAGCATCATTGACCTTCTCATGGTCTCCAGCGGCTTCAGGGGCTCCCATTTCTTCGTCAGCACTGCCATCGCCAGGTCGTTCACCTTTGTCGGTTAAATCCGGTGATATGTCGTCATCAATGTCAAGTTCGCCGAAAAGTTGGCTGAAATCGGAACCTTTAGAGAAAAAAATTCTACAAACAAGAGCATTTTGCAGGTTCGCCGTTCCTATTGCTAAATTATGTTATTAATTGATTCGATGGTGAGACCTGTGAACCCTTGTGAAGCAGCGAAATGATCCACTTTGCTTGACACTTAACAGGTCCCCACAGAATACCCTGTACAAGGTTCACTGAGTACCATTTGATGCCCCCCCCCCTCCAAGTCAAACTGCGTCGAAGCTGTAATGGAAGAGAAAACTTACTTGAATGCATGTTTGGACCACACTGTGCAGTGAATGTGCTCGCTTGGGGTATTTCGAATGGTGCATCCTGGGAAAGTTTTCTCCTGCGCAGGTTTCGGCACACATTCGTAGCACTCGGTGCGATCGCGTAAGATTGGTCTGACCTTAAAAAGGAGAGCAATTATGAGATTCGTTCTGTGGTCGAACGTTCGGAGCCAAACAACCCTTGCAACCACTCATCAGAAAGCGTGGATCGCCGAATAGGCAGAACACGGGACTGACGTCATTGGTGCGCTTCACCCTTCCCGCCTTCACTGGAGGTTAAGAAAGTCGGAGCAGGAAGGCGCCACCGACGTCGCTTCCTGTCTCCGCCTACGGCAATCTCGGCTAGTGCCCACACTTCAAAAGCTACGGTTTATTACCTGTCCTAAGTATCCGGAGGAGCCACTTTCAATAAGCGGGATTTTGGCCGCCAAACACATCCTATTCACGTGATTTCTGGCAGCTGAAAGGGACAAAACGTATTGATCGGAAAATTGAAAAAAACTTCAAAATCAAATGGATTTCAAAAATATACCTCTATTATCGAGCGCATTCATGACCAAGAAGAATTGTTGAAAGAACGTCAAGTTGAATTTTGAACTGGAAAAAAAAACAATGAGAAAGCAAGAAAGCATTGTGTGTAGGGGGAGAGCGGATGTTAAATACCCCTACGCACCCTTTTCCCCCATAGACATTCCGGTGCGTATACCCCCCTCCCACGGCCACACTGATGTCACCAGAGCATCCCCCCCCCCCCCCCCCCCCCCCCCCCCCCCCCCCCCCCCCCCCCCCCCCCCCCCCCCCCCCCCCCCCCCCCCCCCCCCCCCCCCCCCCCCCCCCCCCCTTCCTAGTTCTTCTTTAGTAGATATTTATGCCAAATATTAAAATTATTCTCTATGAAACATCGATAGAATACCAGTCTAATTCGTTAATCAGGGTTTCACAGTAATTGATCCAACACTATTCCAGCAATAGTGCACCGACAGAAAGCTATGCCTTCTCTGCGCGACTATACCTAGGAGACTCCAGTCGTCTGCGCTCTAGGCCTGAGACTTACTGGAAGAAAATAAACAGGCCTAGTCGGGTGGTCTTCCCCCCATGTTACCACCAGGCTAACGGCTAAATGGATTTCGTCCTTGGTAAACAGCGACCCAAGGAAACGTTACGCCATTGAAGGGCAGGCATGTAAGCTTAATCGCATTTGCACGCAGTCGCTTTTCTAGCTAGCTTCTTTTGTTGTTCTACGATACCTCACACAGCTGAATGACTTTTCAAGAATATGTTCCAATAGAAAGAAAGACCAAAGCGAGCGCAACTCAACCTACCTAAAAATACTGTCGAGATCGAATGTGATTTTAATGTCTGGACGGAGCTGACGAATGGCTTCAGTGGCTACTTCAGCCTTTGATCTGCCGACATGCTCGCGACGAAAGAGAAATTGCCGATTTAGATTGCTAACATCAATGGTGTCCATATCAATCTAGAAATTGTTACATATCTTGTTCTAGTCATATCTTGTTAGAAGAATTTAAGATTCAGAGAAAAATAAGAGAAATCAATAAGCTCCAATGTTGGTAACAGCTCCGTAAGCCTCGGTTTTGGGGAAGTGAACAGCGGCGCCGCCGAGCCCACCCCAACCGCGTTAACAAAGGAATTTGTGCTCTGTTGAGCTTTGTTCACGAATGTGACATTAGTTTTTAGCAGCAAGTCTTTGGCGCCGCAACTCCAGTTCCTCCAGTTCCCCCCCCCCACCTCCCTCATGCTCGAGACAAAGACAAACTTAGAGACCCGGAGAACATTCGAAGCACTGATCAAGAACTCAATACGAAATTGTGATTAGAAATTTCCCAAGGGGTACTTATTAGACCGCAGACCTTAAGCAACATCCTTGACAGATTGGGCCGCAAAGCGAAAAAAAAGACATGCCCCATCATTTTTTTCAGAATGTTTCTTGAACGAGTGCATTAAACCCCACACCAGCCCTGCTTTGTTGTGAAATGCCTGCTATAGCTCAAAGTAATGTATTCGTGGAACACTATTCTATTAGTACGACATATTTCATGCGCCAAATGGCGCCAGCGCTTGAAACCAGTGTGATATTCGTAATCAGGACCTCAATTAACCCCCATATGCAAGTTTTCATCAACTTTGGTGAAAAAAGTGGTGGGCGCCAAATTGGCGCCAAATGACGCCAGCGCTCGAAACGGATGTGATATTCGTGATCAGCGCATCGAATTACATCTATAGGCAACGTTTCAGCGAAAATTTTTTTTGAGTTTTTTGGGGGAATAGTTCAATAGTGCCTATATTTCAATGTATTTAGTTAAAGCTGTATTAGCATACTTGAGACTCTATTTTGCTATATAATCAAATACTGAATCTGCTCCAAAATGGGCCCTGCTTCTTCACGTGGTCTACCCGAATTCTACGGAAATTTCAATTCAGTGTAGTAGAATGTGTCCAAAGCGCAAAACTAAACAACTAAATGCGCTCAGAGCGCAAAAACTAAACAACTAAACGAAATAACGCAACAAACACTCACCACGTGAATGTCCTTATACCCGGTTAGAGCTAAATTCTTCAACAATTCACACCCTATTCCACCAGCACCTACAACGAGGACACGCTTTCCCTCGAGTTTCGCAGCTTCTTTTTCTTTCCAACCCATTCT